AAATTATGACTTATGTAAAGATGATAGAAAGAAACCATGTCGTTCAGTCTGTAGAAGGTTAGTGCAAGACACAATAATCTTCTTTGATATATAAATGACTGCTATAAAAAAAGGTTGTGAATTGGTTTTCCTTGTCCATTGGTAAGAAGTCAAGGAGTGTCATGCCTAACTGCAGTAAAAATGATTCAGGCTAAGCATTAGGAGAAAAGTTTTCTGGCACTAAGAATCGGAACAGGTTGCATGGCAATAGTAAGGAAACTGCATTACTGACATTTCAACTAAAAGAAATAGATAGAAGTTATTGGGAGTGATACTGGTACAGCTAGTCCAACATAAGGCTAAAAAGATAGGAATCCCCAAGTCCTTTCCTGCCATATTTTCTAAAATCACAGAATATTCTTCTGTAAATCTTCCCAAGTTTTGTAGTACATACAAATAATTTATTACTTATTTTGATTAACAGACAATTTTTTATTTGTTTTCAAAGAGTGTAACAATTTAAAATTCAAACTTAAAGTGATAGTATATGAAACAGACGAAGAATATACATTTGGGAAGTTTCTAGCAACAAATTGCATTCACTTTCCACATACTCTTTCAATAGTTTTCAGGGAACAGTCCCACCACTTTCTCCAGAGCTTCAAATGCCTCATGAAAAACTCAGCTGTGGCTGTTCTAGCTTAGAACTGCTATATTCACAAGCGTTCTTACAAAAAGACTTGAAGAAACAAACAAGAATGTTTATTTTGGCCCTATCAGAAAAAAATTTTGAATATATTTATTCTACCTTTCTTTTGCAGTTAGGTGATAATTTTTCTTAACAAGTTCCTTTGATAGCAGTGAAGTCTATACTACAGATTTGAGAATATTTCTAAGTCTTCTTGCCACCCACTAAATATTCAGAGACCAAACATAGATGAATCTCTCTAGAGAAGTCCTAGAAATCCCTAAGAAAAAAGCATTCTTTCCAAATTATTCAGAAAATAAGCAAATACCCATTAAAAATTTCTGGAGGGAACACAACTTATTTCTGGAAAACAGTGCAAAATAACAGTTTCATAAGGGTTGCTGCTAGTCCTTCCAGGTATTTTCCCAGGAGTTTATGAAACTCTGTGGAGACAGGACTATAAATGATATGAACTTGTCTCTTTGGAAAGCAATGGAATAAAAACATTGAGGACGGCTTCCCTTTATACCAATCTTTAGAAGTTGTCTTATTAAAAAAAAAAAAAAAACAACAACTTTTCTGAAGTTCCAAAGCTATGGGAAAGTAGAGCAAATGGATAAAGGATTTTGATGAGTAATTGATCTTGGGTAATGGAACCCACAGAATATTTTATGAGATCAACATGTGAATTCTTCACAGATGAATTAATAGAAACTAATTTTGTGAGAAAGTAGATGTGGTAACAGATGATAGCATGAAAGCAGAACCATTATTCTGTTTGCATAGCTAAAAACATGAAATGTACATAAAAAAAGAAAGGATTAAGACCAGTCTAAAACTTCTGGATAAAAGTTCTGCTGCTCTGGTACCTTTACTGGAACAGAAGTTAAGTCTTCTGCAACAGAGAAATTTTACGCCACTAGACCTAGTGAATAATCAACCAAAATTACAAATATAACACCTGAGTAGATCTCAGTATCTCTCTCAAATATTTGTGTGAGTTGCAAACAAAACTTCTTCCTCATTCAGATTCTGCCAATCAGACAGATACATTCAATCTTAAAGTAATTTAAGACTGTGCAATCACATTCTCCATGTCTCCAGAAGTCCCTGCTACTCCCACATCAAAAGTACAGAAATGCAGTCTGTACCTGTACCTTCAGTACTTGTACCTTTAGTAATTGCCTCAAGTTTCTATGTCATATACAAAAGCCTAGATATTGTAGCATCCCTCCTGAGATCTCTCTCGACTGACGATGTCTAGTGCACATTCTTTTTGTCCTCCCAAGAAAATAAGTATTTTGCTAATTCTCTTCATCAAAGTTTGCAACTTGTCAAAGAAGCTTTCAAGAGCTAGTAAGAATAGCAACAGAAGTTCAGCATAGATACTTGCTGTTTGTTCATCTGTGTTGGGTTTGTATGTGTGGCAGGGTTTTTGGTAGTGGGGGAGGCGGCTACAGTGGTGGCCCATCAGAAGCTTCTTGAAGCTCCCCCAGCTCCAAGTTGGACCTACCTCTGGCCAAGACCGAGCCAATCACCAAGGGTTGCTGCACCTCTGTGGTAACATATTTAAGGGGAACCAGGGCTAGGGTGTGGGTGGTGAGGGGTGGTGAGGAGGAGTTGTGAAGGAGACATCTGCAAACACAGAAGTCAGTGAAAGAAGGGGGACTGGGGAGGTGTGTCAGAGCAGAGACCCCCTGCAGCCCTTGGTGAGAGGGCAGACTGCCCCCCTGCAGCCCATGGAGGTCACTGGTGGAGCCGATGCCCACCTGCAGCCCATGGAGGACCCCACTCTGGAGCAGGTGGTTGCACCCAAAGAAGTCTGGGTCTTGGAAGGACTGCAACACATGGGAGGAACCCATGCTGCAGCAGTTCCAGAAGAGCTGCAGCCCACAGGAAGGACTCACACAGGAAAAAGTTCGAGGAGGACTGTCTCCCATGAGAGGGAACCCAAGCTGGAGTAGGGGAGGAGCGTGAAGAGTGCTTACCCTGAGGAGGAGGGATCAGCAGAAACAACAGGTGATGAACTGACCACAACCTCCATCCCCTGTCCCACTGTGCTGCTGGAGGGGAGGAGGTAGAGAAATTGGGAGCAAAGCTGAGCCCAGGAAAAAGGGAGGAGTAGGGGGAACGTGTTTTTAAGATGTGCTTATACTTCTCTCTGTCCTACTCTGTTTCATTGTTAAATGTTGTTGGTAGTGGTGTTTAAATTGAATTGGTGTTCTTTTTCTTCCCCTAAGGACTCTGGCTTTTGCCCATTACTATAATGGGTGAGTCATTCCTCCCTGTTTTTATCTCAGTTCCCAAGCTGTTTGGTTTATTTTCTCCTTCCCATTCCTGGCTGGGGGGGGGGGGGGTGGGGGCAAGGAATGAGTGAGTGGCTGCATGGTGCTCAGTTGCCCTCTGGGCCCAAACCACATCATCATCACTGTAAAATTTATCAGCCCAACTGTCACTCCAAATCATAGGCCAAGAACTCACTGTCATGTATCCCATATTCTAAATAACACTGTAATTATCCACATCTCTTTCTTAAATTTCTAAGATGAAGTAAACGTCTGGCAAGATTCTTGCAGCATCAAAATCTGGTTCGCTCCATCAGGGTTCATTAATCTCTCTGAGAAGGCAAAATAGTAGCACCATTAACAACAGTATTTCAGTTGCGTGCTTTATCAATGGTAAAAGTAAAGCTAACATACAGGTAAATCAAAAAGCTCCTCCTGCAGTTTTTCGGCCCCTTTAATGCTGAAACATTACAATTTGAACTATACAATCAGATTGTTTTCAGAAATAATCCTAAAAGGTATCCCTTCAAAACAGGGTTCTGCAACAACTGATCAAAACAACAGCAACTTTAACCAAAAAATAATTCAAATATCCTTCTGCCTGAGTGGTAATCATGTATCTGAGTGGAAGGAGCTTAGATTTACAATGTTGCTAAACTGATAAGCTCGACAAAGAGAGAGAAACAACCACACCTAGTCTTCGCTGTTTACACAATTCCAAGTCCTTTAGCACAAGACTTCTTGAAATACTGATGCAGCTGGCATGCTAACATACGTACTTCTCACTTGCCACTTGAGCCACATTTCTTCTATCACTATTTAACACAGTATATGTCTACAGAAGATGAACCACAGAGATCATATAGCAGTCAAAGAATCATAGGACAATTCAGGTAAGAAGTGACTTCAGGAGGTCTTCAGTCCATTCTCGTGCTCAAAATAGGGTGAGCAAGGCCATGCAGGGCTTTATCTATCCTAATCTTGAAAATCTCCAAGGATAGAAAATGCTCAGATTCTCTGGGCAACCTTTTCCAATGCTCAACTGTCCTGATAATTAAAAAGCTTTTCCTCAGACATAGTTAGAACCTCCCATTTCAACTTAAATTCATTGTATCTCATTCTTCCTCCACAACACTGAAAAGCCTGATTCAAGTCTTCCTGATAATCTCCTCGTAGTTATGGGAAAGCTGCTCTGTTTACCCCTGCCAAAGACGTCTCTTATTCAGGCTGCGTACAGCCAATACTTTCATCATCTCTGGGATCTCCTCCTTTTCTCCCTCTCCACCTAACCTGACCATCCAGAAAGATTTAATTTTGCTTCGGGGCTAAAGAGAAGAAAGCACTGTTGCATCTTTCTACTATTGTCAGGTAAATATGTAAGCACTGAAAAAATAAATCAGCAAGAATATGCCCAAACCCCTACCTTGCTAAGTCTCATGTATCTCAGTCATTGCTTCTCAGGGGTAACATTAAAAACAGCAGTTTGCATTCCAGATTTTAGCATAAAGAATAATTTTGAGTAGACTTTTTTTCTATTCCCTCTCAGCTGACTTACAGTTCAACCTATTCCTTTTACACAGCTAAGGTTTTCAGGCTTCATTTATGCTATATGTATTGAGTTCATTGAACTACTTCTAATTTCATGTTCTTAAAATTTCATGATTGCAATTAAGACAAGTGTTGCATGTTAAAACACCTTTGAGTTGGTTAAGAGTTCAATACTCGTAATGCTGCCTTTAAACCATTTCTTAGAGCAACTGAAACCATTCTTATAAAGAATTTAATTCTCATATTGAAAAGGATTTTAAATCCTTCTGTCCTCCAGGAATTTCAGCTTTGCTGTGAAGGATGATTAGTCAATTTTTGGACGTCCAGAAATTTCAAATTGCATTTTTGTTTCAGAAATTCTCAAAATAATTTTGTATACAAAATATAATGATGTACTATTTGAAAACAGAAGTCAGAAGGAATAACTAAATACCTCTTTAAACTCACTGTTCCTTAAAACTGAGAAAAAAATACATTGATATGTATGATTGCTAGACTACCTTTAAGGGTTCCATCACTTCCAGCTGGAGAGCAGACTGACTGTGGTGACCTCAAGGAAAAAGATGCAGCATTCCTTATTGAAGGATCACCATCCTAAAGTGACAATGATAAAAAAATCAACATTATAAACACAAACACTTGATAAAGACTGAAAATTAGTGTATATACTGATAAAATGGATTGGACAAAAAAGTATACAAGAAATATTAGAAAAATACTTACTTACATAAAAGTCTTTATAACTTAGACTATTAGACTACTATATAGGCAATGTTCTGAAGCCTAATCAGCCCTAAGAAGAATCTATAATCAGAATATGCAAACAAAAATAAATCCATGTACATGTCCTCTAGCTAAATAAGCACTTCTGGTTTACAATAAGATTCCATTTAGAACTCCTTTGGTACAAACACTCATAGTAAAGAGCTGAAAAGCAGATCCATAACCTCTATACAATACCAACTGAAAGAAATTGAGCATAAAATTTATGTTTTTGAAACAAATTTACAATTTTTTCACTTAACCTACCCTTAAAGCTTATATAGAATGTCACCTTAGTTTTACAGTTAAAGAAATTAACACTTTGTATTTCTATCTTCTAGCATACACACATCAGGATTGAACAAAATCTCTACAGCAGCTGAGTTAGTCACATGTAAAATACAACTAGACTGACTTTAGCTTGGTATTTGGCTGTCTCAACAGTTAAGAAACAACTCAATGGCTATATCAAGTACTTTCCCAACATGGCAAACAAGTTCTATCTTAGTTTTGCACAGAACAACTTGCTTCAATTAAATTCATAATTTCTAACAAAAACTTCTTCATAATGGAATACTAATTACAATGTAATGATGTCCATGCCCTACCCTTAAAAATGGAAATGTGTCCCTTTTACCCCCACACTATCTTAAAATTAAATATGAAACCCACTATTCAAATTCCCATTTAATGGTCTACACAGGTTTATCATTGTTTTCGTGGAGCCCTCTGCTGGTCACAAGTATACTCACTCACTCAATGTCCTTACTATATTTAAAGTTCTACAGAACAGTATTTCCCATTTTTTGACACTTTTTAATACATATACCAGAATGTTTTGGGAGAGAACAAACTGACAAAGCCTATATATCTACAAAGATGCAATTTCTATAATTTTAAACAAACTGCAAACAGTCCATTCTTTTAAAGAATAAAATAATGAAGTCTCCAAAGAAGTTCTTAGGTTATTTAATCTGTTTTCTAACTAAATTATTTCAGTAGGTAATATTCTAATGTGGCTTGCATTGAGGTATCTGAATACAAGCAGTTCTTTCATAACTTTTTTTTTTCTACCCAAACCTGAATTATCAGTCTGATAAATATCTTTCATCCTTTTGACCAGTTTCAACTCAATAAATAGAATGCTAGAAGGCTCAATAAGTACTTTTTTATCTATCTGTTTAAAAAAAAAAAATCAGCAGCCAGTAGTAAGTTAGAAAGCTAAACTGGCATTTCAAAGAGACAGAAGTCTGCATAGATGGGCAAATACACACTCTCTCTGACAATGGCCAAACAACCAATTTCCACATGTATAGACATAGAGTAGACAGTGTACATGTGATGCCTTGTGAAGGCATAGTTGACACTGCTTAGGGAAGAGAAGAATTTTAAATTTATACACTGAAGATCAAAGACTATAAATCTGTAGGAAACCAGATTTCATCAGTTTCACCATCCATGGGCACTCAGAAAACAATTCTAATAGATTTTTTTTTCCCCTCTCCCACAGCACAATAAATCTAAAACTCACGCTGTGCTATTAATTACACTTATTTTTGAAACACTGCTTGCAAAAAGAGATGTTGCTTCATGTGAGAAAAGCCTCGTGTACAAAGAAATCTAATATTCAGATTCAACGCAATAAAAATAACTGTATCTTAAAGCTATATGCTGTTTCTGTAAGTCAAAGTGAATTAATTTCCTGATGAGTTCATTTATCTGCTACATTGAAATTACGGAGCTGATTTCTTTCAAACATGACTTATCTTTGACTTGCAATAAATCTAAAAAAACCCCCAAAATATTGAAAAAAAAGTAATTCTTTAGCATCTATGTTTTATTAGGACAGGTCTCTGCCCATGATTGCCAAGGACATATGCAAAGGCAACTTTTATTAAATTAACTAAATACATGAAGTAGGTGACCTTTTGGGTACACATGCCATTCCTCCCATAGTTGACAAATTTTCAGAAGTGGTCATTTACTGTTTCCTAGTTCAGAACTTCATCAAATGGTGATTTGTAAGCACAATCTCATATCCCAGCAATGCTCTCAAAGTTTACCAAAAAATTAACACATACACTCCTTAGATTGAGTGTATGTGTAGTAAGCTTAAGGGGTGTACTTGCTGATTTTGTATAATTACACATGACAAATACACAATATCCTGTAACTATTCGCATTTTTAAAGCAATAAAATTCTAAAACTAAGAAAATAAAAAAGTTTAAGTTTTATGATTTAATGATTTTCATTCATAACTATCTTCGCCACATGTCTGCATGATGTCTGCAACGTCATGATTAAGCTTATTATTCATACGTAGATACAAAACCTTAATCCAAATTCTTCAAACTTTTTTCTGCATGTTAACTACTAAAATCAGCTTTTAAAGGTATATTAAGAAATAAATGTAATGCATATGCTTCATTAGGAAAATGCACAAAGGGATTAAAGTGCAAGTTTACAATGTTTACTACTTTTTATGTTTATTATTTCTCTAATTAAACCAACCTATAAGGGTATGCTTTATGTTTTGACAGTCTGTTTTGAAAGAGTTTAATTTCTAAGTTTTCACAAATTAGGATGTGGTTGCATTGTTTGGATCACAAAATTAGGGATAAATATTTTTAAATACTTCCTCTTTAAAAATAATGAAATAAACTATCCTAATATTAACATTTTCCAAAACTCCTGTCTTAACAAAACGAAGATTTCCTTGATAGTGTGTCTTTAGCATAGCTGGGGGAATATATGTACACTTAATGCCAAAATCAGCTTCTTATTTTGAAGAATTTGCATTGCTGAAGCATAAACCAAGGAAAACATCTGATGATTGTGTATTACAGAAGATTTCTTCATTACATCATTCTCCTAAGATACTATTTCTTAGCTAATATTTTTAATCAGCATAATTCTTGCATTAAAAAAATAAATAAAAAGACAACTAATAAAACTAGTAACTCTCTTCAGAGTTCTACTGTATTAATCCTGGCAAGGGATTTAGGGAGCCTGGTGCTAACAGTACACTTGCTGAATACAACACTTTTGCTTCCACTAGCTAGTTTAGGAAGGCAAGACCTGCCCACAGTTAATAAAACACACGCTCACACACAGAGGCCTACTTGACACAAGGTGTTGATGAAAAAAAATAACTGAAACTTAAATGCTCTCCCTTTAAGAGCTGTTAAGAGACAGTGTGTCAAACCTTCAAAGAAGAATCCCAACAGCCTTCATCCACAGGATGCATTGCTCATTAAGAAGAAAATTTATCAGTAGTTCAAAAAAAGGGGCAGAAAGTTCTTTTTTTTCCCTCTACATTCAAAATTTCAGGAAGAATTTCTCCCACACGAAATAAAGTCACTAAGGTAAACTTCTTACAAAGAAACCAGACCACAAAAGCACATAACAGACCAGTCAGTAAAATGTCAATAGGAATCCTTGCCTTTACCAACACTACTATATTATCCAATAGGTTATTCAAATATGTCAAATCTGATTTACAATTGCGGGGATCTTCAGAGAGACAAGTTAATTTTCACCTATTTAAAAATCTAGTATTGTTTGCATCAACATATTGCTACAGCAATTGTGGAGATGCTCTACCATTTCTTTAAAATAAACTCACATATGAGATTATGTGAAGATTTCTTACTTCTCCTAATTTCATCAGAATGAACATTAAAAATGCTTCCAAAGGAAACAGATCTAGAAAAAATTAAATCTCACACATTAAGGCTGTATGGTTGAGTATACACATCTGAAATTTAAATATATTTTCAGTAGTTTTATACATCAACAACATAATAAAATATCTGATTTCTAAGGCAGCTAAACACATGCTTGCTTTACCATAGGAAATACTTGCTTTATCATAATAAACTGATTTACATAACATACATCACTACTTAGTCTGTGCACCATCTGTAGGTAGTCTTCATTTGAGCCATGTCTAGAATTATCTGCATGATGATTAGCTGAATTTCCAGACAACTGACTTGAAACTTTATTTTCATGGAGATTCCTCATTCCAGCTGTGACAATGGGACTGGATACTGAAGCTGAAACATAAAAAAATATAAGTAAATATAGTTATATATTCATACACTCTTTAACCCTTAGGAAGTTTCAGAGAAAACATCGTGTTAGTTAGGATATTAATGAGTTGGATGCAAGAGGTCTGGAATTTGAATAAGAAACCAACTTTTTGATTGAATCCTTTTGCCACAAATACCTTGGATAAAATTAGATATCTATGATTTTAACTTTCAAGAGGATCTAAAACTAAATTCCATGTACAGATTAGTTAAGCTTTTCTCCACATCTATCCTATTTCCATTATCATATTCTTACTGGTTATAGAAAACTCTGTTTTCCTCTATATAATATAAATATATATAGATATAATATATATTTTATAATATATATAATTTCTTCTGTATAATTTGTATATTCTAAGCACAAAAAATGATCTTGAAGAACAAATTATTCAAAACAATCCAATAAGAATTCTACTTACCAACAAAAAAATGCCTAGATACTTCAACAGTGTTCACGTTGTTCAAGATTGTTTTTAGAAAAAAGAGGAACAATGAAACCCATTCATTCTGAAGGTCGTATTTGCCAGTTACTGCATATCTTGAGCATAATTCTAGCCAACTTAAAATTAATCTGGTTGACACTACAAAGTTTTGGTAAAGCTAAATAACCTGGCTGAAGAACTTACATCACATTGGCAAAAATGAGGTTTTCGCTAGTACAGATAAATGATGGCCATAGCTAACAAATAAAAGTTTCTGGTTTGTTTTGATTTTTTCCTACTGTTATATATGCATGACAAGTGTGCAAAATGGGTGTACGTAGGGAAGCAATGCAACATGAACATGTGTTTTACCTTTTTTTCTTTGCTTTTATTTTATTTTGTTTAAATAAAGTATATACTACCACTCTGCACAGTCAGGAAAGCAAAGCTTAAACATACCTGCCAACTCAAAGATTTTCATTAAGCATGTGACTCCTTAGAAAGTCATGAAACACGGACATGAAGGTAAAGCTGACATGAGATAGGAGAATAAAACAAACATCACTGGCTTACCTTGCTGCATCTGAGGATGTGGTGTGTAACTTGGAGGATGTGAATATGGCATGTATCCTGCAGGGCTTTGAGGAGCATATGGACTAGGCACTGGACTGTTCTGCTGTGCCAAAAATCTGTTACCAGAGCTTGTCTGTGGTGGCACAAACCGGCTAAAAATAAAATAAATTTTAAAAGTTTAAAAAAGTTGGAAAAGCAAATTCAGACAAATTTATTATTTCTTTTAGAATATTACACATTCAGAACGTTACAACTTCTATAAGACACAAAATTTCAGCACAATCAAGAATCTCCCTCAAAAGCAATATGTTAAGTTATCGATACCCTCCCACCTTCAATTATTACTTAAGAGTCACAGCTTAGGTACTGCATTAGTAAAAGGAAAGAATAGAATAAAAAGCGTTCATAAGACCTCCACCTAGGGAAAGGAAACAGTGACATAATATATACTAAAATAAGATCTGCAATTTCAAAAGGTTAGTCCTAGAAGTTTGAATTAAAGTGACAGCTAAAATTTTATTAACAACTAGGTCCCTAGGATTAACAAGGAGCCACCTACTCTAAATATTATTTTTCCACTAAGATCTCAAAGGACTTCATCCAACAAAACTATACTGCCAAGATATAGGCATGTGACAGGCAGTTACGTAGGACCTCACCAAAAGTCCCTGAATACAACTCACTCTTTCACTGGCTTTATCTTAGACCAATCCTACAGATAGGAATCCATAAAAAATAACATTGGCTTTTGACAATTATACAGGCACATTATAACTTACATTCTTACATGAGCTTTTCAGAATAAAAATAAACCAAATAAGTACTTCAGAAAGTACATTACGTGTTTCACAACCCTCAGTTCTACACAGCAATTCTATGAAGGTAAGCTTCCATAAAAAGAAATAGCAAAGTATTTAACACAAGGATTTTGCAAGGATTTCAAGACGACTTTGTAATATTCATTGTAATATTCACAATTTGCAAAACCTTCTTCGGTATCCATTTTAGATATAAAAGTAAAAAAGTATACTTTTTTTTTGTGCAGATACAGAGCATTGAACTTGAACTACTGGGCATAGCAACTTGAACTGAAATGTGAAGTAAATTTATTTTAATAATGACATCTAATAACTGAAGATGAAATCTGTTAAAGCCCAGTAACTGAGTTGAAACTACATGCAGAAGTCTTTCCTCTAATTCAGAGTGCTTTATTATGTTAGTAAGGGCCTGGATTATAGGTATATGCTACTTGCCAACACTCAAAAGTTTAAAAAAAGAACCAGAAAGTTGATGAGGGCGTTGCTGGAAAACTGGCCAAACGACTGGGCCTATCCTCCTCTGGCTTTTTGTATAACTGTTAGAGCAGTACTCCATGCTTTTACAAGCCTTCTTTCCCACCCTCCTGTCACACTGGTACTGTTACACATGCTGGAATACATTAGCCTCTTCTCTCCTATCCTCCTGTGGCCAATCTCAGCCTCTGCCACAGAATAGCAGGAGGGGTGGCAGGAGGCAGGGGAACTCCTTAAGGAGGAAAGCAAGTTTGTCAAAATTATGGGAGGGAGAACGACTGGAGAATCATGACTAAATCTTAGAATACAAGGATTTATTCACTGACAGAAAGATGTTTCTTTGCCAGTTGAAGAAACTCACCCTACTGTCAGACAGATGTAAAATTTGTCTCCACACTGTTCTACTCACATGCTTGCAACAAGAATTGACTGTCACTGTAGAAAGAATTTGCAGTTCCTTGCCCCGCCCCGCCCCCTCCATTTAAAAGAAAGCATTACCTGGAAGGACTATGTGAAATAGTGGTTTGTTGGTAATTGGAAGATGCAGGACTACCACGCATGGAATTCTGAGAAATATTAAATTGTGACATCATCATCCCTATTAAAAAGAAGAAAGCAGCATTACTTCACACACATTTCTTTTTCAATCAGGTCTCTCATTTCGGAAATTATTATACACAAAGAGATTATAAACTTTACAGATATTAACATCATCTACCCACAACTGTTAAAAATATCAGAAATTATCAATTCCATGTAAGAAGTCCATTACACATCATGACATAAAAAAAGCGTTGCCCTAAAGCAGTGTTAATTAAGGCATAAATACTGTAGTTCCTTCTTCTGCTCCTTAGAGCTTCCCAAGCCAAAACCTACTAGTCAATAAAAACATTTTATAACAGGACCTATATTCCACACCCCAAGCTGGTGTGTACAGTATTCATTGTGACAGTAAGTGAAAGATTTGAAACTTCACAAGTCAGAAGAATGCTGAAATTTTATCTCCTGTTTTTAGAGCAAGTACTGCAAACAATCATCTTGGGCTGAGTGCTTCAAGATATTCTCACTGCTCCCACAATGCCTAGAGGTTCCTTTCTATCCAGGGCCAAAAGCTTTCTATTCTACCTCCACTACGTTTATAACAAATGTTATCAGAGAAGATGCTGAAATGTTTCAGTTTCAAAGCAGAACCAATATCCCAAGTGTAGGCTCCCACAGCATGTAGATGCCCACAGTCACACTTTGGAAATTCAGGAGTTGTACTAGTTGGCAAGCTAAGAGTACCCAATGTGCCTAAAACTAAGAGACATTTGGATAGTGCCCCTAAAAATTTGCTTGAACTTTCAGTCAGCCCTGAAGTGGTCAGGCAGATGGACTAAATGACCGCTGTATGTCCCTTCCAAACAAAATATTCTATTTTATTCTAATCTAACTCACATCATTATTAGGGAGAATTTAAAGGAATCTTTTTTTTTTTTCTTCTCATCGATAAATGTATAAAGAATTCATTAAAAACAGCATGACAATGGAAGCTGAAGTGATGCAGAAACAAAAACTTAAATTAATTCTAAATTATTTTAATGACAGAATTGAATGTCATGCAGCTAAAACAGTGTCAGAATTCATGAGCACAATGCAGCTTGGGAAGCCACAGCAAGTGATCCACAGGCATGGGTAAAAGCACATCAGCAGTACAAATATTTTAAACCAAAGGTTAGACAGAAGGCTGATACAAGTGCCCAATCCAGTGTGTTTGGGAGCTGTCAATCCTTCAATTGCTATCACCGATTTCAATTGCTGTGATTTCATACGAGCAAAACTAGTTTCAGAAGTCCTCCCTGTCACCCTCTTTTCTCCTCCCCTCTCCTCAGCAGAGAAGAGATGCAATAATCCCCCAGGAACGCAGCCGTTATTACCTCCTGGTAAGTGTAAAGAGCAGCATTCCAAGTATATTAGCACACCAAAACTAGCCCAGAGCAGGAGTGAAAGTCCCATATTGTGCTGAACCTGAACAAAAACGAGACACCTCCACACTTCAGTGCATAGAACATTTCATGGTCCGGAGTAACAGAAGGAGACTCCTCAACCCCTGCAAAATTTGTTTAAAAGGACACCAGTTGCCTCACCAAAAGGCAAGTGAGGAAGAAACTCCAACACAAAACCGCTGGAGGCAGCGCCTAGCATGCCCACTGCCTGCTCACCTCTCACTCCCACTTTAAAGGCAACTGTGTACAATATTTTAGTTCAACTACTAACCCTTAACATTCATGTACAGAAAGCTGCCAGAATGTATGCTTAAAGCACAGCCTGCATTTTTAAAATACTTTAAAAATATATATATTTATTTTCTCCTCGATAAATTTAAAGTATGTTTGAACCACTGATGTGGTAGGTGTTGGTTTAAAAAGAATGACAGAAAATATATAAATGGATCTATTTTTTAATGCCATTTTAAAAACCCCTAAAACTTATTATGTTATAAACAGCTTTCACTTCTCTAATCTGGTCGGGGAGGGGAGGCAGGACATGGGAGGTACAATCTATGTAATTTAAAAGAAAAAAGGAGGAAAGAAACAACAAAAAGGAAAAAGAAAACAAAACAAAACAAAAACCAAACCACCACCAACAAAAAAAAGTGTCTCCAAAGTTTCCAGACAGATAACAGTTATGCCTGATAATGATGAGAAAGAAGTAAAAATAAGTCCCAAACATCTAGTCTAATAATAAGTTGAAATAAGCATGTCCATTAGCACTAAAATATCTTCTTGCACATTTCTTGCATTGTTATCATATCATTAAGCAGCAGATTTATGGCTTCACTGTGCACTTCTGTACCTTAAATATTTAAGAATTACTTTCAATGCAACCTTAATTTTGAATGTTGGCCATGACTTACTCTGAACTTGTAAACAGAACAATGGCAGGGGCAGTTACTCATTTAAGACTGCTGCAGTCAAAAAAAAAGGAACTAAAAGATAAGAGAGTGAGCTACTCCAACTTTACATAAGCAATGCATGCCTTGCTAACGACTATACCACTGAAGAGGAGCTAAGAGACTAATAAGAGGGGAACATCCTGCCCCAGAAGGTGCCAGAGTCTGGATGATTGATTCCCCCAAGTCAAAATCTGTGGTAATTGGGAAATAGGTAAAGGTGGCAGGAGGAGATCAAGACCAGAGACGTGCCCCCCCCTCTGCCCCTACCTCCTCAAGGAGTATGTGTACTAATTTGCATAGCAAACAAGGCTAATTTAAATATAACTAACCAATAAGGGACAAAATAGAAAGAAACTAACCAATGATCATTACATAACTGTGTATTCATGTAGCCTGAAGTGTATAAATACCTTGAAGTTCTTTTGTGTGGTGTGCTGGCTTTGTGGAATTACCACTTAGCACCCATCTCTGAATAAATATCAAATAAACTGGTATCTTGGTTCTGTGTGTAAGATTGGTTTATTGCGCACCAGGTAGTGAACCCTGCTTGAGGGACAACAGTAATGTTCAGGTTTGAGAAAACACCATTTGAGTAGTAACATTACTGTAATTTTTAGTTTGGAAAAAAGCAATACACTAAATGCCAAAGAATGAACTACTTAAAAACGCAGCTCAAGGTCACAGCAAAAAGTCTTCTACAGTTAAATGGTATTACAGTATCATGCATGCTTAAGCAAGGACTGCTCACCAGCAGGTGATTTTTCAGTTAAATATACACTCTTATTGAAATTGTACATCTGCAAAGTTTTTCCCTTTTACAGGCACATATGCACTTTAGTTCTTGTATAAATGAAAAAAAAAAAATCCAAGTAATTGATATTTATGGAAAGATGCATAAGATTTTAATCTCCCAAAATTCACAAGTTCTGATAAATAGCTTAAAGTGAGTATTAAGCCCGAATCCTAGGCAATGTTACGAATACTAACCTATTGCTAATATACTATTTTAGCTGATCTCCTAACACATATCTGCTGAAAGACAAAGTCAAAGTGTTGAGAGAGAAGAGAAAAATTACGAAAATTGAAACTATGTAATATCTTCATTTTAATTAATTATAAATAAATCCACTTCATTCATACACTGTAAGATGCAAGACAGGAGTAGTTGCAAGATGGCACCCAGAACTTTCTGTCATCTGATGAAAAAGGTCTAAAATAGAATTAACATTTTGCCCTTGTACCAAGTTAGGCCTGATGCCAGATGTTGATGTGAGTCAGTCTGATCAAACAACCTGGTAATAGAAAACTGTCTGAAAGATCTAACTAAAAACGTAATCTAAAAATTCTAAACTGAATGAAGACTGTTTCAACAATGGGACTCCTATCAAAAGACAGGGCATAAGAGTTTGAATATTGCTGCTGCATTACCTGAAACAAAATATGCCAGCAATGGATGCAGGCAAAGTGAGGGATGTGCACCCAGGACACTAAGCGAAGTGTCCACATAATACGTCCTTCTTGCACTATTTGATCATCATAACTAAAACAAAACTACAACAAATTCTTGCTCTATACTTTGTGCTGAACTATAGATCAATATGAATTTGGGTAAAAGCATCAGCACAGAATTCTGCTTATGCTTCACCTTATATTCACAATAATTCAAAACATAGTATTTAGCTTTCTGAAAACACATTTATTTCCTGACAAACTGTACTGGATCAAGAATTTTATTCTGCATTTAATGTAATTCTTTAGCCGGGTGATCTTCCTGTTCTTGCATCAGCGATGAAGGCTATGAGAAATTAATTTGAGTTCACTTTGTCCATACTAATGCTGGAACTGACACTCAAGGCATCAGGGTGCACAGATACATCCCAGGCTGAGTAAATTAGCCTGGGGGTCCCGCTGCCTTTGTTCCATCATAACTGTGGGTATTACAAATACTGGGTCACAGTACTCAGTGCTGACTTTACTGCATGCTGGACTCAACAGAAGGCAGAAGGACAATATTCAGAAGGAAGATAATAAGGAAAGCAGAAGAGATGAATCTTAAATACTATAAAAAAGCCTAAATTTCGTTCTTTTAGCTGGCAAAACGCATTACATAAGATCTCTACCAAACCCCCAACTGTTCTACAAATCATGACTCTACGGAGATTACAGTATCTGTTCAGAAAGCAGATTTGCTGCCCTAACACATCAGTATAGCCTCCTTTGGCCTTGGAGATCTGAATGGGACACAGTCACAGCTAATAAAGCTACTACAATTTGCCAGTATCTAGCTTAAAGATCCACTTATTTTCAGGTAAGAGTGTGGCCTTTTTCCACTGAAAATAAAGTCACACTTCACCTAGCTTTTTCAAACATTCATTCCAGGACCTTATTCCTCTCAAAGTACTTTGTCTGCAGCTATGCTTTTCTTCTCTTTCTTTCCAGTTTTCAGATTTCACACTTACATTGCAATGCTTGCACTCATACAAGTATTCAGAATTATGTAAAATAAAATTAAATATTCAAGGAAGTTTTAAAGTCTGATCTCTTCTGGTTCTCTGAAACCACTTCATTAACTTTACTAAAATAAAATCAACTAGTATTTTAAGTTTCATGTTGAATTATTTTTTATTCTGTACTAATACCTTCCTTCATGTGTAGGCCAAAGCACAATTACTAAAGACAAGAGGTGCTTTTATTTCATAAAGGATTATTCTTAACCTGTAGAGTGAAGCTGTGGAAGTGTCTCTCCTTGTGAAGGACAGAATTACCAAAAATTAGAAAGAAATCAGCTAGCTTTGTCTTCTTTCTTTCAAAAGCCTCTGCTAGAACAGATAATTTTAAAACAATGTCTCCCTTTTGCACTGACCAAAAAAAAATATTTTACTTTACAAAACTGGTGGAAAACTCTAATTCAAGCATCTGTTCTTTGTGGGACCACTATGCAAACTGGCAGGACAGTCACAACTCTTCCCACAGATGGAAAAATCATACTCTGTCAGAGCTACCACTAAACACAGGACCTGGAGACTGTTTTCAGACCTTAAATTTCAGCATATATGTATCAACAAACTTAGAAATATTTAGAAATTCCTTTCACATTTTAATTCCAGGAAATTTCTGTCTTCTTTCAAGGAATAATACATGTTCTGTCCTTTGCAAGTTCTTCTAAAATATTGTATGGCTTTTTACTCACTGGCCTAGGTAAACAAACTTAATAATCTAATTTTATTATTCTTCCCATCCAAAAATACCCTACACTTCTTATCCCCTGTGGACTCCAGTAACAATTCTATCTATACTTCTGCAGTGCTAGCAAAGTTTTATCCTCAACTGCAGAACACTATTTCTCCTTCTCGTTTCATAGTTTGGTATTTAAAGAACATACTGTAGGTGCATGTATCCAGATCTACAACTAGAATCTGTCCAATTAATCCTTTTCTTGGTCTCTTTCCTTCTTCATCTTTGCTATACAGCAGTATACTTCACTACATCTCAGAAGAGAATTAGCTGTCAAAACAGTATAATCTGCAGGGCATCACAAATCGCTGAGATGAGGAATGGCAGGGAGGAGCTGTTAAATATGGTTCATTCAACTTTACTCCTTACCCCAGAACTATTAAGAACTACCACTGCAGTGGTGCTATAATCGTACAGATTTTCAGTAATATCAACGCATATTTTTCCAACTTTAACTGTTTACTAAGACAAATATATGAAACTCGCCATAAATTTAAAAAAAAATATTTTAAAATAAAATCAAAATCACTCATCCTAGAGATCAAACTTTGTTCTGAAATTAAACATTTTTTTTTACAAAAAAAAACTGGTGGTGTTTATTTCCATGCTTACGCTAACACAATTGCTCTTAGAAAATGTCAAGGTACATAGCTTTCTATCACTATCAAATACAAGGTAAGGCATAAATATCACATTTGTGCTCCATATATATTTGTGGTTAGTATCAGTCCCCTAAACTTATAGAACACAAAATGCAATCAATAAATAATCAAAAATCCTTACCGCTTTGTACCCCGTATCTGTTTTGCATGCTTTTCTCCCTGAAAACATTAGGATTCCTTGCCAGGATAGCCTGCAGCAAGACCGGTATATCTCCCTCTGGATCATCACTGCCAAGGTTATCTTTCAACTCTCTGGAATTGTGGAAGTAAGCAAATAAAGAGGCAAATGCATTTTCAAATTATAAGAAACTATGAGTCAAGTAAAAGAAAAAAAAAAAAACAACCCAAAACAAAACCAAACCAAAATGAAAGAAGACAATTCACTGTTAAAATATAGGAAAAAAACAAGTCTGCAAAGCTGTTCCCTGCCTCTACTTTTTTTCCCTCTCTTCTTTAAGGAATGGCAGAAGAAGTATTCCTACTAGTCTTCAAAAATTTTTTCTGTTACTAAGCACTTATATATACATGGCTGTCACCTTCAAACTATTAGAAAAAGTTTTGTATGCCCACTTTTATATCATGATCTTCTCCATAAAAGAACACTTTGGCATAATATCAAGAAGGTATTATTGTAGGAACAAAAATAACATATGCATGGATGTATAACATTCAGGCTGCAGCCCAATCCTTTGAAAATCTTTCATTTTAAGAAGGGAAACTGACATATCTGACATCATAGGACTCCCTCTGAAGCATAAAAAAAATGTAAGGGATTTTCTAGAAATGTATCCATGTTTTCACTTATTGTTTACTTCGAGGACTTTTAAAATTTTCTTCCATTTGATCAAAACAATTGATTGGAACATGTAGGAAAAAAAACAGGGTTATCAACATAAGACAATTCAAAGGACACAAGGGAAAAATAAATAAATAAACCCCGAAAAAAAACACATTAGCATACTTGCTGGTTCAATTCTTAAAATATTTAATTTCAATACCTAATCAGAATTAACATGGGTCTTACATAGGTGTCTCAAAAAAAATTTGCTTTTGTGTAATAGTGGGTATATAATTTGTCTATGAGCATTATTAATAAAAGTGGAACACAAATGAGTATTGCGCAATCAACATCAGAAAGTCTGCACTCCTAACTAGTAACAACAGAATACGTAGCAGATCTATAAAATAACCCCCATAGTTAAGCATAGGGACTGACAGACAATTATTAATGTTCTGACTGACTGAAACATCTGACTTCAAATACCAGTCAACTGCTAAGCAAGCCTAACAAAAAACCTGTATGTTCTAATTTTCAGATTCTCACAATCACCTTTCTCAATCCAGTTAATTTTGATTTCAAGGAATAAGGATGGTGATCTGCTACAGTTAAAGCTCAAAATACATACATGTGATCTGTTGACACCTGATTGAGACTGTGGACGAGCTGTGAAACCAGATTTTCATCCCTGCAAGCCAGAAGGCAGTTCACCTCGTCAGCTATCCGTCCATTGAAAAGCAGGCTTTTTGTTGTTGTAGCAGGTAAAGGTGATGGAAGAGGCAGCTGGTTCAAAACTGTTACCAGGAATCAGAAAGGAGTTCAGAATCATTTCATGAAACAGAAGCATATAAATATGGACACCTTACTCCCTCATGTGATTAAGAAAGAAAATTTGACAACTACATTTAACTCATCGGGAAGAAGATTTATGAATTTTTTAAAATCATGAACATACACACAAAGCCTGGACTCTGTTTTACACAAAGTAATGCTGTCAAGTTCGCAAGTTATATTACTATATAATTGTAAACATTTAGCTGTGCTAAGGCAAGTATTATGAATAAAAGCATGCCTTTAAACATTCGAGAATATTAAGTTATTTAGTATGTTATGGCAGCTTTCTCTTGAAGCCAAAAGCACTCATAAAGGAAGGAAATGGAAAATACTTCCAGTTGCGTGCAGTACTGTTAAGTGCATTGAGCATACACTTTTTTAATTTGATCGCCATATTTGTGTTCCCATTTTGTATGGTCAGGGTAGATTAAAAAAACAACCAACCAAAAAACAAACAAACAAACAAAAACAAAAACAAAAACAACAAAAAAAAACCACAAAAAACCAAACAACTGACCAAAAAGTACCCCGAACAACCCAATAACCAATTTGATCCACTAATTCAATTCTTGGTTTATTCTTCTGTTGTTATATTTCTTTCTAAGTCATCTTCTCAAGGAAAGGCTAGTATTGGTTGGTATGATCACTAAAACATCAATTCAGGCAATTACCAATTCACAAGCCTTGGTAAAAAGATTTAATAGTAATATCTACTACAGTATTTCAATCAGATTATAAATGAGCACACTATACTTTCAGAAGGCATTCTTAGGTGTACAGACGTAACAAGTAAGTGTACCATATAAGAAGCCCCGACCAGATGATTCTCAGAGCTACACAGACAGGAGGAGAGTAAGCTGGAGGAGAGTAACCCAGAAGAGGCCAAAAAGCTAGTTACATAGAAAAGTCACTTTCAGAGTGAACTTGTTTTTGTGGACTCGTAAGTCCAAGTTACCAGGCTGATTACAACTCTGGGATAAAGGTTTTAACTGAACCATTAGAAATAGCTTAAGAAAAAAAAACAAGTGAAATATACTCTCTTGGCTCTTTTATATTTTGAAATTATTTGTTAAAAAAAAAGGAGTGTGGGAGTGGGGGTGGGGAATTCTAGTATTTTTCCCTGTACATATCATTACTGTATTTAGAAATATATTGGAATTCAAACAGAAGTGTGTAATATTAAAATAGCTAATTTCATTATTTGCATCAAATTACCTTTGAATGTGCCAGAAACTTGTAAAAATTAGCAAGATCACCAAACCACATTTATTAAAACCATATAAATTCAGCTAGTTAACTAGCCTACTCTACTGCCTCTAGTCATCACGTCTTCCATGTTTTTACGGCAACAGGTCTTGTCCATTGCAGTTCCTTCTTTTCACACAGAGAAAGGTGAAGCAATTACAAGCCCTTCTCTTTCAGCTGCTCCTGAGCTTTTAAAAATCAGATAAATACAACATATAAGGAAGCAAATTCACCTAACACAAGGGCTAATCCCACCAACGGTAGTTCAGTGTTTCAAGAAACTCTTGCACCAGGAGTCTGGACAGTAACTTCTACCAGTTAAGTTTTCGGCTTTCTTTAGAACCTATACTTAATACTGGAAAACTATCCATAGCTTGAAAACTGATTATTTGTATCCTGATGGCCCATTATTAGACATACAAAATGATACATATATACACATCTAAATACATAAGCAGCACCTTACAATTTGATATTTCAGAATATCAGAAGGACATGAAGAAGTGGGGGTTTACCCCTAATACATCTGCTTTTTTTACTGGAGGCAATTAAATTAAATTACTGGGTATATACTTTCAGTGTCTCTTGCAAAGTCTCCAAATTTCAACAGTATAGTCATAAAAACAAGAGTTCAAAAGAAGCACCTGGGTCACTGAGTCCAATTATCCTCAGACAGACAACTGAGCTATAAACTTGTTCTTACATTTTATAAACAAGATGCATCTTTGTCCCAACTGTTCTTATTGTAATAGTTGCCATAGGACCTCATTATAGCAATAGTAAATCTCCTCTTAGTTTTCACTATAGATTTATTTTTGGTCACATTATAACCATTCAGTTTTGGGCCGGTATCATCTTTAAATGTAAACTGTTCTTTTCCTTTCATTGACTTTTGTCTTCCTGACATATTTAAAGACAGTACACAGATCTCATCTGTTCCTTTTGTAGGCTGAACAGCTAAGGAAGAAAACACACAGGTTCAGCTGCTTATTTCCCTTCTAGCAGCCATTCTTTACACCTATTAGAGTAACTTTTTTGTACCTTGTCCAAAACTAAGGAACTAAGTTTCAAGTATATTCAGCATATTCCACACTCTCTTTAGCTAATGAGCATCAGTCTAATCCTTTCTCTCTCTCTCTCTCTCTCTCTCTCCCCCTGCTGCTTCAGTGAAGATGTATGTTTAAGAGAAAGACATACAAATGCTAAAGACTTCTATTTGTGGGGTACCCAGATATGCTACAGAATGGTATTCCAAACAAAAAATGAATTCCTATGCTTTGTTTCAGGTTTCCTTAAGGATTTTTTTCACCTACATTTCATTTAATCTCATTTCATTTCATGTTTAAATTAGCATGTATTATTTGGAGATTTTTTATATTCAAGCAATGACAAAAATGGTATTTAAATACCAAATCTGATTTTGAACCTCTAAGAATTTTTAAACTAAAACTATTTTTAGTGTTTTGAAAATGCAGGTATTTACCAAAGAGGTGTAAAATAGCATAGCAGAGACAAGAAAAATAATAGTACTTACGGTCTGTAAGACTAGCAATCCCTGCAAGAGTAGTGATGGGAACATGAGGCATATCCCCATTCATCCTGAAGTTCTGGGATAGTAGTGCCTACACAGATATTTCAGTTCAGGTGCCAACTATCATTACTTCCCATCTCCCAAGCACTGAAAAGAAAAACAAACAAACAAACAAGAATACCAAATGAAAATTCTCATTTACTTTTTTAGAATTTTAAATTCAGTAACATAAATGAAGCACAGAACATACCTCCAGCTGCATACTAGGTAAATTTTGTCAAGAGTGGGTAGAACAATGCAGATTTTAAATATCAAATGATATTGTGCAAACAAAAGGCAAGCTTCCGGTCTCAGCAGAAAATCCTTTCACCAGAAAAGTTACAAGATCAGGCAGTCGAAAGAAAATTTGCTCACATTACACAGTACCAACTCAAAAACTGGTTCATACTGCAGTGGATAGCACTTAATGCATAACCAGTTTAAGTGATTAGCTATTATGTTCACTTCCCAGCTTTGTAGAAGGAGATATTTTTCATATGAGGCTAGCAAAAACAAAAGTACTCTACAGATGCAAAAATCAAGGAGCCAGCAAAGTGACAATTACAAAATTTTAGTGTATTCTAAAAGTAGTAGCTATTTAAAACTTGAGCTGAAAATATCTCTTTAATATTAAACACTGTTTAATCAAACTACTATCAGAAACTACCCCATTCTCCACAAAAAGAAAGGCTTTAGCCACAACTAAACTAATGTATTTCTTGTAAAACAGCATGGTTTATATTCAACTACTGAAAAAGGGATTTATTCACTCAGTTTTCACTAACTATAGATTCCAACTGTAATGAAGTCCGCACTGCTTAAAAAAACAAATCAAAAACAAAAATAAACAAACAAAAAATTATCATCACAATAATTTCACGTGCAGTTCCAAAACAACAAAAATTTACAAAGATCACACACTACAATCCACTATTATACTAAAGAAATGACAAAAATTGAACATGGCATTTTCTGAAGACAAGCAAAATAAATTAAAGATAAGGATTTTGTTTTATATATATATATCTATATGTGGTTACCTATTACAGACAGGCACTTGTGATAATAATTTAGGAAACTGTAAGATTTGCACAGGCATTCATGTTATCTACTGAAGATGCTGGAATAATGACTTATTTACACTTACAAGTTAACATTTTTAAGAATTGCATATACAATACATACAAACCAAAAGATCATTGTCATTTCCTTAGTAATTTTTGTCTCCTTCTTTCTCATGTCACACCATTAACAATATGTAGGACACTACTGCTATTAAGTATGTATAGATTCCAAGCAAGACAAGGAAACCCAATGTTGTAAGCTTTTTTCCTGCTCAAAGTTTTCCTGAACCACTGAAGTTAACTTTTCAAAGTTTCTCTATCTACACATAACTGAATTCTTTGAAAAAAATACCAACACTGAGGTTAAACAGAACTGACAATGACTTGACTTCCTTTGCTGCACCTGCCACAGCCTCATTCTCACCACTAAATTATATGTGCTTATTAAAAATCTAGTACATTATAGATATAGAAGTCTAGTTAAGGAAACTGCTACAGATAGATAGTTTATGTGGGTTGTTGTGCTTGGGTTTTTTTAATCCAGAAGAAAACAGCCTTCAAACACCCAGAGCAATTTCAAATACTACTCAATACTTGAGGATTTTTACCTGAAACAAATACCAATATACACAGAATTTCAGAGGTTTCTTAGTTCCATAAATAAACAATTCTTATAAAAAAAGTTAAAAACAAAAAAAGAAACCAACCAACCAACCAACAATAGGATCTAACTTTTCCCATAATGAGTCTGCAATAGTAAAGCAACAGGAGCTAACACTTTTGGAATTTAAGTTTTCATTGAAGGGTTAGTAATTAAAGAAATTGAAGAAACACCTTTCACATGTAAATTATATGTACAATAAGAAGGTCATGTCTAATGATCTCTCCTGACTGAAACTGCAACAAATCTAAGGACATGTCACTTGTATTACTGAAAATCCTGTATGTAACAAGTAACAAAAACCCCAAAAAACAAATCTGTTCAATTTCCCTTCCTGATAACCTGGGAAAGCTCTAAACATCAGAGACTGTCACTACTAATTCAAGTTCTTTCCTGGTATTACTGCTACAATAATTGAATTACACAGATATTCAATGGGAAAAATTCTTCAAAAACCAGATACTTAAACCAGAAACCTTCCCCACAGATACATAACAAGAAACTTGAACTGGCAAGATCCAGACCTGAGAGTGAAGCAAGTGCAGTGAGTTAGGATGGTCAGGAGCAGAGTAAACTTTCTTTGTAGTTTTTGTAAGCTTTCTTTAGGTAACAAAACAAAGGTCAAGAGGGGATGTGGTTGCTCTCTCTAGTCAAAGGTTAGAAAGGAAGAGTGCTACAGAGCAACGCTAGCACAACAGTAAATTGGGGCATGAATGCAAACAAGAAGAAAATCAGAATAGAGCTTCTCACCATGAGAACTGCCACTTTCTGGAACAGCATTCCGTTAGGAGTAGTAGAAATACGCAACACCATTACTTTAAAGATGAAGAGACAGGATGTGGTTGCCTGCACCAGCTGGAAACTAAGCACAGAAATTCAAGAAGTCTGTCTCTTACACTATTAAGTTTTTCTAAGTATGATGATGACAGTAAACAGATGAAAGTAAACAAAAGACAAAGTGCGACTGATGGGATTAGATTATACAACAAACACAATATGAAGAAACCACATAGGAATATCTGGGTCCAAATATTACATCTGTTGTGTTGACAGCAAAACTGTCTGTTATACAACTGCCAAACAAGGTAGGATTCAATTCCAGAACTAAAGACTGAGATCCAGTCAAACCAGAAGTCAAATTTGATGTCACTGAGAATTAGTAAACTCACTCATTAAAGAATTTAAATTATCAAGTAGTTAGGGGGAAAAAAACCTGACAGCTCAGAATGAATTAGGTTCTTTCATCCAAAACATCAGAACAGCATGCAACAATTAATGGCTTGACTGATAGATAAGTTTTGTTGTGTGGGGTTTTTCTCCATTCCCCAACTGTAACAAGAGTTAAAAGTACTACATTGTAGCAGCTCACAATTAGTGAGAAGAATCAACATTTTTCAATATTTTATATTATCAGCTTTGCACAGTAGCTATTACCAGTAGTACAGCATTTCTAACTCTAGACTGAAAAAAGTGAAACTGTTACATTTGCTGAATTAAGGAAATCAAAGAACTGCTGAATCGAAAAGCTTTTAAACTATGCATCAGCGTAGTCATTTGAACAGTGAGGTATAAATCTAATTTAGATATAAGCAAATGATGTCTTGCATATTCAGTATATATTTATTTAGGTTCTTGCTTTTTATAAGAAACAATGGAGACATTTCAGGAAGGAAGCAACTTCGGTGCACAAGGGAAGTAGTACAAAGAACACATCATTGAAAGGAAAATGGTGAAATGGCAGCATACATAGAGAATGTATGAAAAAGCTATCAACATAATACACAATAATAAAGCCAAGCCAAGACAGAAGGGAAAGTAATATGAAAAAAGTTTGTTATGGATAATAAGTACACATTTAAAATGCTACTTCTGTATGTTATTTTCTTCCCTTTTTGTGTCAATTATGTGTATTCTCCTTTACTGCAAATTTATATTCCAAATAAAATTCCTATCAAAACATTAAATTTAAAGTGTTGGGGGTTGTTGGGTTTTTGTGGTTTTGTGTTCTGGTTTTTTTTTTTTTTTTTTAATTTTAAAGTAGAAAATAAGTAAGTAGTTGTTAAAACAGCACATGTAATGGACATGAAAAATGCCATCTCACTTTAGTGGCCCAAGGTTTGGGCTATGTCATGTGGATCCTCTTTGCAACTCATCCCTATATATTCTGCATTTCTCACCATAGTACTGAATTAATGGCAGTGGAAAAATAACAAAAAAAATCATCTCTATAAACAGAATGGACAGGTATGGGTAAAATTGAGGAAGAGAGGATGAAAGTAAATTGTGAACAAAAGAGACAGTGATCATCCAGTGAAAATAAGAGACTATGATCAGGAAAAAAAAAAAAACAAACCCAACAACAAAAAACACAACAAGAAACAACCCAAGCAAACAAACAAACAAAAAACAACAAAAAAACAAACCAAAAAAACGATCCCAGAAAAAATCCAAGAAAAAAGAAAGAAACTGCAATCGTATTTTTTCAGATATTGCAGGATTGAGGAATTTCCTATATATGCTGAAGTGTTTTATTCCCCATTGAGGGAAGATAACGGAAGATTGACAAGGATGATTGTATTTGAACACTTTAAAAAGAGGTTTTAACTTCTTGTATGTTGAGTAGCACCATATTGACATAACCACGGCACCATGATCAAAGTTGATTTCTGTATCTGCACACTCAAAGTAAACCAGTGCAACTCATATATTAGCTATTTTATAATTTAGGTAGGCAGTACACTTTTTCTTTTCTTTTAAAGCAGCAAACATGCTATTAGAAATTTAAGACGCCTTGCCTCATAGCCAGTTGTAAATTTCCACATTTTTCAATTAACTCCTTTTCTTATTAGTAACTACATGAATCTCTGCTAGTTATCAGTCCATAAAATGTCCTTACAAAAAAAAAAAAAAAACAAAAAACAAAACACAACAAAAACACCCAACAAAAACAAAAAACCAAACCAAACATGTAAAGAATGAGGGAGAGAGGCAGAAACAGAACACATATTTTCCAGGTTTCATCCAAGTAAGATACCTTGACTGACGTTCATCATACAGATTTACCCACAAGAGGGCAGATTGCTGGTTTCTATAGCAGAGTTACAGTTTGTTACAATGACAGTAAGTTTCCAGAACTAAATGCTTTCAAAAATACCTCAAAAAATATTAAAGGAGATACAGTTTTAAAAACATAGACTAACACTAAATCAGGTGGGTGGGGAAGCATCCACATTCACTATATAAAGCATCTTAGCACTAATTCAATCTCAGAAAAAGTCAATATTGGAAGTGAATAGTAATTTATCACTGATGCAGTTGTCTAAAGATAAAATAGTAATGCAAGAAACTATGAATCCACCTGGTATGAATCTAACTTCACCAAC